ACTTATTAAATATATTTTATTATTAATTCAATTTAAAAATATTTTATTTTTATTTGAGTATATATATTACGTTAAAATATTTTGAAGTTAAGATAAGAATAAAATATATTTAATAATTTAAAGTAATAATATAATATATTTAGCAAATTAAGATAAAATATAAGTTAGAACAAAATCATAAATAAACATGAAAAACCTAATCAGGATATAATCATGTCAAACCATCAAGAACAAAATAAATACTAGATTTGCATAAGTGTACCTGAATCCATTGTTGGATATCACCTAGAAGGTTGAGATCTTGAAGATTGCCCTTTGGTTGTGATCTTCCAATAAGATAGAATTCCCTTTAGTATAAACTCTTTGACAAGGATAAGAGAAAATACAAGATATTTATTTCTTGGGGACCATAACCCTTTATATAGCTGATTGAATCAGTTATTGTCTATACTTATAACTCTGTCCCTCATCAAATTATAAATACAACTTTAATAATATCTACACTTTTATTTCCATGATACTTTTAATACTTTATGATATTATACATAATTAGTCACTTAATTAATTAATATTTTAGGATAACAATATACATTATAACTGTGTGCCCATAATTATATATTTTAATCTAACAAAAGACTAATATTTGAACTAATGTAATGCTCACATAAAAATTACCTTATAATTGTTACATATTTATTACCACATGTGTCACTTGAAATCCGACCAAATATTAACTTTCCTTTGAGCCATAATAAACGCATGAATTACAAGATTACATAATCATCTTGATATTTCAAATAAATTAATCTACGCAAAAGATGTTACTTTGGCAACATTTTGTTTCAACGAATTCACTAAAATATCATACATAACCAAAATACGAATTTATTTATTCATGAATAATTTCCTTAATAACCAACTATTAAAAGCGAAATTTTAAGCAAACCAAATTTAATATATATTTTAAATTAAATATATATATTCACCTTAGAACAAATCGAAGAAAATCAAGAATTAAGCAAATTTTAATTTTTCATGCGCAAAAGGGAAAAAATTTACTAAAGCAATGCGCAAAATTCAAATCAATTACAGAAGCAATTTGGGTTCTAATTCATATAATAATTGCATTAAGAACAAGTAATTGACATGGAGGCATTCAATGAATTTTAATCCATTAAAAAACATATATAAACAATTTACTAATAGTAAATCTCAACCAAGCAATCATGATGCATTATTTTCAAACAATATAAACGTATTGTCACGCAATTAGTTAATGGGAAAAAGAATATCCATGCTTTTAACTTTCAATTGTTTTCCAGATTCGACATAAATTAAAGCAAGTTGAGAGACTTTAACGCAAAGTAATTATAACAGCGTTCATCGTAAAGAGAGTCTTATCACATAAAATTATAAACCTTAAAATTAATTTATTCTTAATGATTCAACATGACATGCTCTGATATCACGTGTTAGAACAGAATCATAAATAAATATGAAAAACTTAACCATGATTTAATCATGTCGAATCATAAAGAACAAAATAAATATTAGATTTGCGAAAGTGTACCTGAATTAATTGTTAGAGATCACCTAGAAAGTTGAGATCTTGAAGATTGCCCTTTAGTTCTGATCTTCCAAGAAGACATAATTCTCTTTAATATAAACTCTCTGACAGAGACAAGAAAAAATATAAGATATCTATTTTTTGGGGACCATAACCCTTTATATAGCTGATTGAATCAATTATTGTTTGTACTTATAACTTTATCTCTCACCAAATTATAAATACAACTTTAGTAGTATCTATACTTTTATTTCCATAATATTTCTAATATCTTATGACTTTATAACATAATTGTTCACTTAATTAATTAATATTTTAAGATAGCAATATACATTATAAATATGTGCTCATAATTATGGATTTTTAATTCAATAATATATACTTTGAAAAGATTAAAATAGTAATAAAATATATTTTTAAAAGTTTAGATAAGATTAAATTATATATTTTTAAATTAAAAAATTTATTTTTAAATTAAATTAATAATAAAACATGTTTAATAAGTTAATATAAAAATATTTCTTGAAGTTAATATATATAAAATATTATGAATTTAAGTATTTTTATACACTAATATACAAAAATATATATATCATGTTGTCGATTTTAGATCAAATGTTGATCTTGACTCAATGGTTGGGTATATGCTTAGTCTCTCGAGACATTCATGTTTGAATCTGTTTAGTCCCAATTTACATATTAAATGTAAATAAATTAAAATAAAGTTAGTTCTCCAACTTAATGGTGACACAAGGCACAACACGTGGCATCATTCGATTGGAGGATTAAATTTATTTTAATTTATTAAAAGTATGACTAAATTGAGAGAATATGTAAATAATTTATACCAAATGTATAATTGTAATAAAATATCACGTCACCTAATATGTTATCTGTTAACGATAGTTAACATGTGGTGACTACATCTTAATTAAATAAAACACGAAAGTGACTATATATTATTTTTTTGAAATTAATGAAAAAATTGACAAACAAAGATATAAATTATCAATTATGTAATTAATAGAATAATTATCTTTCTTGTAGTGCAATTAACTCAGCTAGACTTGGTACAGTTAAAAACAATTATACTTTTGCTATACTTTTGCATTGATTTTGCTTTAAATTCAAACTAAAATCATTAATGTTCGCAACAACATACAAATCTTTTATTTGGATTTTCCCATGAATTAATCTGAAAAAACATATGAACTTTTTTATTAGAAAAAAATATGATGAACTTATATTAGGCACTAAATCATCATTCATTTATATGGGGTGAGCATTGAGCTTAAATTTGATGGTTTATTATTTAATTTAATTTTATAGAATTAAAAAATGCTCTCCCTAAAATAGTAATATCATTGACCTTTTATATATTTAGAGACAAATACTATAATATACTTGAGATTTCATCCAAAAATATCGAGTTAGGTTCTAGATCGAGTGAAACTTCTCTAAATCCAAATTGAATGATGAAGGAGTCGTATTCTCGAGTCTCGGGTGATGAGTGGACCAAAAACCTATCCCGTGATCATCCTTATTCATTTAATAGCTTTGGTTGTTATATCCTAATACTTATTTTTTGAGGAATTATTATCATGTGACATACTACTATATGACATTTATAATTTTTTTAAAGAAAATTTATAAGAAAATAATAAATTTTGGAAATGCAATATGAAAATATTGTGACACGACATCAGCATTAATTGAATATAAAATAAAATATTATATTAGTCAAAAAGGATAAATTGATGAAAAAATTAAATACTTAATATTTTTAAAGTTAAAGGCTTCTAACACCTCTAAACTAATTATGTTTGATGACGATTATAAAAAGAGGAAAACCTCACATTTTATTGTGCTTGTAAATTATATATATATATATATATATATGTCACATTAAATGGTCCAATTAGCCAAAAATTACCCTTCTAACAATGGAATTTGTTGTTTGAAGTTTGGCTTAATCAAGTAAAAGTATTATAAGTATAGAGACATGTGGGATTGTAACCAATTCTTGGAGCAAGAAATATCCTTCAAATATCAAGCTAAATATTAGGATGTGTTGCTACATATTATTTCTAATGAAAGATGAAATCTTGGTTAGTGTAAAGAATGTAAATTTATTTAGCATATGAACTTTTTTCTAATTAATCATTTGTATTTGATCTATTTAATCTAGATTAAACACTGTAGAGGCGATAATGACCCTCCCAACCTAATTTGCTCTATTCACAAATACTAGGATTCAAATATCTGACATTACTAAAAGAATCTAATGCCCATCTCATTAAACCAACTAAACAAATCGGTCGTTGATATTTAGCGTATGAACTTTGTCTCTCACATTACGTACATAAGTTAAACTTATATTCTTACAAGTTTATAAAATTAGTAATAGTGTTCATACTATTTAAACTAGAAAAATAAATAAATTACCTAATAAAAAACCAAAATTTCCTATTTAATTTTTTGAATTTGAATCTATTTCATTGAATCACACACCAACTTTAAGTGAATTCTAAACTTATTAGAGCACGGTACATTCATTCTCTTAAAGTCCCTCTTTCTTGTTCTTCTCTAAATATGATTACGATTAGATTTAAGATTTGTAAAAAATTAACACCTACTAGTTTTATTAAATAAATAAAAATTATAATAAACTTAAAAATGTTTTACACAAGTACAATAAATTAAATTACATTAAGTGATTTATTTTCCCTAAAATTATTTTTTAATGAGTAGTAATAAAATCAAATCTACTACATAAATTAGGCTAACATCCTCATGCAAAAGGGAAATAGTTTCATCAAACGTAAAGAATCGAGTTTCAACTTGTTCAAGTCTTGCCTTCTTTGGCAAAATGTCAACAACTTAGTTACCAGCTCGACGAACTTGCTGAAAAACCTCCCACAAACGGCAAACCAACCCATATATGTACAATAATATGGTAACTGATATCCATGTATGACACAGTTCACCAAAAGTTAGATCCCAATCTTTTCAGTAGCATCATTATGAAATAAATATTTAATTTGGAAAGCACAGGAATTTACCTAACTCGTCTCATAGTAAGTGAAACAGAAATGAAAAAAAAAGAGAAGAAATTCTAGATTCATGCAAAATCACCGATCTTATTTGTTGCAAGCTGGAGGTTCCAAATGTTAGTGGGATCATCAAGAACAAGGAGAAGGAGGAGGAGGATTAACGGTAGGTAACCTACTACGTCAGATAAAACTAACAGAAAGTAATATTAGACACCGCACTGAAAGTGAACTAAAAATTTGATGACTATATTATAAGGTTTAAAAGTTGAATGACAAAAATGCAACCATCTAAAGGTGTGGGAGACTATTTATGTAACTTACCCTAAAATTAAATTAACATTTGAATCAAGAAAATGAACCCCTGATTAATCTGTCCTAAATTCCCCTATTTTCATGGTGAAATGCTTTCCTCCCCGTATCTAACATGTACCAAAGAAGAAGAAAACTTCTCTTAAATTTCACTCCAAAGTCCAAAAGCAGCCAATCTAACAATCTCAATTTCCCCTTTAATTCTTTCCTTCAATCCAAACAACTGGAAAGAAAATGAAGAGATTAAGAAGCTATTACATGCAGTTTCGTCGCAACAACAATCAAGCGATGGAGCGTAGATGGATCTTCCCATTAGCTATTGGCTCCATCGTTTCCTTATTTTTGCTCTTCTTAACAACCTTAACCTCTTTCGATGGCTCCCCATTTCTTTTCTTCTACCGTTCCTCCGCCGTAACCGGTGGTTCCTCCCCTTTCGTTGAGAACCGACTGAAACCCATCCCAATCTCCACTCTCCCTCCGCCTCCCCGCTTCGCCTACCTCATTTCCGGCTCCGCTGGCGACGGTCGGATGCTGAAAAGGACCCTTTTAGCCCTTTACCACCCGTCTAATCTATACGTTGTTCATCTTGATCGGGAAGCTGGCTCTGAAGAGAGGCTTGATCTGGAGAAGTTTGTGAAAGATAATCAAGTGTTTAACGAAGCCGGGAACGTTAGGATGATTGTGAAAGCTAATTTGGTTACTTACAGAGGCCCTACTATGGTTGCTAATACGCTTCACGCTGCTGCGATTTTGTTGAAAGAAGGTGGAGATTGGGATTGGTTTATTAATCTTAGCGCTACCGATTATCCCCTTGTTACCCAAGATGGTGAGTTCAATCTTCCAAATAATTAATTAGTTTTCCAAGTTGGGTATTGAAACAACGGCTTTCCCCTCATTTTTAGTACAAATTGTCTTATTTCCCTACATTCCTCTGTGTTTGTGTTTTTTTAGCATTGCTATTTGATATTGGCTTTGAGGTTTTGGGTATCTTTCAGATTTGTTGCACACATTTTCATACTTGCCAAGGGATCTGAACTTCATTGATCATACAAGCGATATTGGGTGGAAAGAGTGAGTTCGTTTCCTTTATTAGAGCTTTTAAATTTTACTTTTCCCTCAAACTTTCCTTTTTTGCTCACCTTTTATTTCAAGATACCGATTGATTGTTGGTATTTTGTTGTTGTTGTAATGGCAGGTTTCAGAGGGCTAAGCCAATCATTATAGATCCAGGATTGTATAGTATGAGAAAAGCTGACGTGTTTTGGGTTACACAGAAGAGGAGCGTGCCCACTGCATTCAAGCTCTTTACAGGTAAATATGCTGAAAATTTCAAATTGTTTAGTGTTGTGTTTAGCTATGGTATATAGTTTAGGCAGTTCGGTGATGTTGTTTATTTGCCATTTTTAGATAAATTGTGTTTAGATAGACACTCTGTTTACCCTTTTCTATGCATTGGTCCAACTGTGTTTCATTCTTGTGAGGATAGTTGTTAGATATAATGATTTCTTCGAGATTTGATTGATTGTTTTCGATAATATTTTGCTGGGTGATTTTGCTTTATTTGTTAAAGAGTACTGTTATTGAGGTTGAAACTGGAATATAGTTTTCACTTGATTCTTTTGTGATCAAGTCAGATGCCAAAGTTAAAGACTTCATAAATCCAGGATTTCCAGGAACATTATATTTGACTGAGCTTTGATTTGAATTGAGGTCGACTGGTTGGACTGTGGAGAACAAATAACTTCCCATATCATGTTCTCTCAGCTTTCTGATTGTGTATAAGCATCTTATTGATGTGATTGTTTTGCTTTTAATGTTTATCATATTATGACAAGATATTTTGAAATTCATGATCCGAAGAAAGTGTCATATATGTATAGTAGAACGACATGCCTACACTGCTTCCCTTGTTTAAGTAGCTAGTTGCAGTATAAGGAATGGATTCAGGTGAAAAAAGCTTTGCTGCTTGGCTCGGGGGATTGTTGGTGAGAAATGTTCAGGAAAACCGGTGTAATAAGCTGAAGTTTCTGTCAGGATACTAAATTATTTTTACTTATTTTTTTATCTGTTTCCTAATAGCCATAAAACATGTTTGATCGGAATGCCCTTGATGTCACTCCTGTCAATTAGATGGTGAAACCCATGGTTACCTGTCAACTCTCTCGCTTCCCCTTAAAACATAGAAATTGGAGTCCATATTGTACATTTTCCTATGCATTTAACATTGATTTTACTAATATTTCCAAATCCATTATTGAAACTTGGATGCACAAAAAGATAATTTAGGTGTATTCATCATTATTTATTTATCTAGTGTTCACTCTTTTCTGGAATGGAAAGTAAAAGCAGCAAGTTCAGTCAAGTTTACTTTGAACCCGACCTCATTTCTTTTTTATTTTACCTAGAGGTTTTATTACATTCTGAGTGTGGATTTTTTATTTATTTATTTTAAATTTAAGTTTCATATTGGATGGCTAATAGTGGACACTGAATGCTAGCAAATCCTTGAAGTTTGTCATTTCTTTGATGAGAAACTAAAAACCAAAACTGCTTAGCCTAAAATAGTATTCTCATAACCGAATATTGCATTATTCTTGTTCTGTTTCGTGTTGCTTGCACTAATGTGATCATTTAGTTTTGGCTTCCTGGTTCAGCTGACTAAAATTCTTTATTTCTTCTTACTTTTTGATCATTTGTGGCCTTTCCAAATGCTTTTTTCTGATTCTGCATTGCTTTAAAGCTAGACACTATATCATTTGATTTCCTTTTCAAAACTGTATAGATTTGTTGTTCCAATTAGCTTCAGATACGTAAATGACTAAACAATGCATGTATGTTATGTTTGACTTGTAATTTCATTGAACTTTTATGATGTATATAATTGCGGACTTCTGATTCTTTTGCATAATGTTCATCATGATGTTTCCAATAACTTTGATCAATCATATGGTTGTATAGAAACTTTTTGGCAGTAGTGAAAAATATATTCTGATTTAGTATCCTTTAGCGGTAAGATACACTAGAATGCAGTATAAATGTCGAAAAATTCTCATGAAGTAGTGGATTACATCATGAATCGGCTTCTGTATGATCATATGCATGCTACTTTGATCTGGAAATATATTCATTATTCTGGAAAAATGTTTTTCCATCTAAATTGTTGGCAGGATCTGTTAGACAGCCCATAAATGTCCACAATTATCTTGATTAAGCATATCATTTCTGTCACAGGTTCTGCTTGGATGGCACTTTCTCGCCCTTTTATCGACTACTGCATTTGGGGATGGGACAACCTACCTCGAACTGTCCTTATGTACTATGCAAACTTTTTATCTTCTCCAGAAGGTTACTTCCACACAGTCGTTTGCAATGCACAAGAATTCCAAAACACTACGGTAAACAGTGATCTCCATTTTATATCGTGGGATAACCCTCCGAAGCAGCATCCTCATCACCTCAGGCTTGCTGACATGCAACGTATGATTGATAGCAACGCCCCTTTTGCTAGAAAGTTCCCCAGGGATGATCCCGTACTCGATAAAATCGACTCTGAGCTCTTGTCTCGGGGCCCAGATATGTTTACTCCTGGTGGTTGGTGTGTAGGAAGTGGGAAGAATGGGACTGATCCGTGCTCTGTTATTGGTAATACAACGGTCATCAGGCCCGGCCCCGGAGCAAAAAGGTTGGAAATTTTGATCAGTTCTCTTCTATCCAACGACAATTTTAGACCGCGACAATGCAAATAACACGAAATTACACGGAACGACACCAGCTATGGGAGTCACTAATGGTGATTGAGGTAGGTTTATCATTCATGTATCAGAAAATGGAAATGGAGGTTTGTCCCACTGATATTTTTGCCTTTTTTGGTAATGTTTTGTGTAACTATTAAATGCTGAAGAAAAGTTTTAGTTTTACACTTTTACCCCATTAAAGTATCCCTAATGTGTATATTTTTTTAATATTTTATGACATGACAGAAAATGATAAAATAACTGACACTAATATTTTAATAAGAACAAAATAACCAGTGTTAGCTTAACAATATGCTGTTATTTTGTCACGTTGAGTCAGTTTGATAAAAAAAATGATAATCAAAAGAGATACAACCAACGTTTAAGAGTTAAAATCACCAAAAAAAAAAGACTAAATAAAAGATCCACTGGGTAATATTTAGTAAAAATATTACATAATTACCCAAATAATCGGCTGCCACAGTCGACTAAATGATCGATTACCACAATCGATCAAAGAGATTTAAGGGATTGAATATTTTGGATTTTAAGAATTAGGGATTGAAGTATAGGCGTTTAAAAATTTTGGATTTTAAGGGTTATAATCAATCAATAAGTGGACAACAATGTATGAGTGACTGTTCACCGATGTATTGATGGTAGGAGACGACTGACGATTAGAGTAAAAGGAGGTAGAATAAATTTTTATAAGAATTTGGAGTTATTTTCAGATTTTCAATTCTTTTAAATATTAAGTTCACGTTTTTCTAAAATTTAAATTTTTAAAAATAAATAAATTAGAGATGGGTCACTTAAGAAAATTTTTAATGGTTGTTATGGCTGAGACAACGGAACGTTAGACACCTGGACTAACCGAGAAAAAATTCAGACACCTATTTAAAAAAAAGGTATAATTTAGACATTTATTTTTATATTAAGCCTAAAATCAAATCTTAAATAATAATTTTATAAAATTTTTAAAATCATAATAATTTTATTTTACTTTTAATTAATAACTATATTTTTTACATAGATAATAAAATATAAATATTACACAATTATATAAAATCTACACACATAAAAATATATATAATATTAAAATTGGTCACTTTTTTATATTTATAAATATTAAAATTTTTAATAAATTGATAATATAAGTGACTGAAGCGCAACCTTTTTTAAATTTGGTGAGTAAAAATATATAAACGTGAAAGGAAAGTCATCAATCCGGTAATTATATTTTTTAATTGAATTGATCAATTCCACTGGTTACTCTCACATCCCTATTAACAGAGAAATTATTATATTCAATTATTTTATGCTATATCATCGAATTTTTCCACCTCAGTCTTCCTTTCCTTCTTATCTGAATAAAATTGAATTCATTCTGATCACATTTTCCAAAGTGAAGAAAAAGTTTTCATAAAGATGATTAAAATTGATGATGCCGTACGTATAAAAATATCAACTTTATAATTCTAATTTTACAATCAATTTCAATACACTATACATCACTACGAGGATTGTGATTTATTATTTTAAACAAATCTACAACTAAACACAAACAACGCAAATAGCAACATGAACAGTGATTAATTCATAGATTAATGGCCGACTGTGACACCATTTTCTTTCATTTTTTTCAGCAGCCATCGCCACGCCGTTTTCTTTCACTTCTTCCTCAGATGTATGCTTCTGTTTTTCTTAATTTTTTCCCCGCCATTAAACGAGCTTCATCCTCAGCCTTCTTCTTTGCTTCCTCCTTTGCAGCTCTAAGAGCTTCGATCAAGCTGTTCAAACAAGTTTCCACTTGGTCGTAGTCCGATTTGGGCATCAAATTCTCCGCAACATCAGCCGGAGTCATCTTCGTTTCGCCCAGCAATGTCTCGATTTCTCCGAACAATGAATGGCAATCAATCTCCAAATAGTTCTTGGCAAACACCTTGAATGCGTCGAAGCAGCAGTAAGACAGTTCAATGTGTTTGTCCATTCTTCCCTTCCTTATCAGTGCGGGATCAAGCTTCTCCACGTAGTTTGTGGTGAAAACAATGATTCTTTCGCCCCCACAGGACGACCAAAGTCCATCGATACAATTCAAAAGCCCTGATAATGTAACCTTGCTTTCCTTTTTATTGTCTTCCTTTACCTTTTTCGTGATCGGATCACCGGACTGCTCGTCATCGTTCGCGTCTTTCTCCGTCTTCTTCTTCTTCTCCCTTTGCCCTGTAAGGTCGAGAGAGCAATCGATGTCCTCGATCACCACGATCGACTTGTCGGATGTATCAAGCAATAGCCGTCTCAACTCGGCGTTCTCCTTCACCGCGGTGAGTTCGAGATCGTAAACATCAAAGTTCAATAGGTTCGCCATCGCCGCAATCATCGAAGATTTCCCAGTCCCCGGCGGACCATAAAGAAGATATCCACGTTTCCAAACCTTGCCAATTCTAGCATAGTAATCCTTGGCCGTGCTAAACTTGATCAAATCGTTCTTGATTTCCTGTTTCAGTTTCTCATCCATTGCCAATGTATCAAACGTTGCAGGGTGTTCAAAAGGTATATTGCTCCACTTGCTCCTTCGATAGCGGTACCAGTTGTCGCTCGAATTGTTCGAATAAAGCTTCCGTTGCCGGTTTTTCGTCGTGATCTCCTTGCCTTCCTTCAAAACATGGCTAATATATGACTGAGTGATTAATTCCCTATAACGTTTATGGACTGTCAGCTTGAAATATCTCTTTTCATCATCATCCGGATACAATGAAATCCGTTGTGTTCTGGGAAGAGTCCTGTTTGCAGACCACCAAACTTTAACCCCTTGAAATTCATCAGTTACTTCTTCGTTATAATCCATGGCAAGGACTACGGATTGGCTATCTTTCACCGTAGATGCCTTGAGACGCTTCGCCGACGCCGACGACTTGTCGCCGAGATAAGTTTTGATGGTGGAATAGGCTTCGCTTCGCTTCATGCGTTCCCCGGTGAACTCGTCGAAGATGATTTCGACATAAGGATAAGCAAACCTCACAATTTTATTGAAATACTTCTCGAAATAGAATTGAAGATGACGAGGGAAGAAGTTCTTAAAACCGGTACAAAGAAGCATCAAAGTACCCATTGTGGAGCCTAGATTCAACATTTTCCCCATCATCACCATTTTTATGTAACTCTTTATTTGAAGTGTTTCATAACTGTGTCATCTTCCCTATTTATAGAGACTGATGGAGGACTGTTCATGACTTGTTCAAGATAGTAATTTTTGCACAAGATTCATGCAGAAAGTTTCTATACAGTTTCCAAAGTAATCCACTAGTTTTTGTTCTTTTAGAAGTTGCAAGTAAAGTCATTTGTCTGTTTATGAGGCCGCCATTAACGACCACAGTACACTGTCTTATCAGATTAAAAGAAATGGCGGAAACTAACAGGAAAGAGCACCCTCTGGCGATCACATACGTATTAATAGTGAAACACGCCACTAGGTCAAAGATTAACGTCAAATTTTGTTATTTATGTGAAGAATATGCAACATCTTGAGCAGTGATTCTGATTTTTTTTAAGGCGATCACATATGTATTAATAGTGAATTCTTTTTTGTAAAAATAAATATTAATAAAAATTTTAAGATAAACACATCAATAAAATAAACAACAAAAATTAAAAAATTTACATTTTAGTGTAGACACGTGTTCACTCTAAAAATATAGACGCGTCCGCCAGTAATATTGAGGGGATAAAAAATTATGATACTAAAAAGAATATTCTAAGACCATATCTAAACTTGATTTGAAATCAATTCGAATCTAAAATGGTGTTGATTTGAATTCGAGTTGGATCTGAAAATTTTGGATCTACAATCAACCTGCACTAGATCTAAACTTGAATTGAACCAATAATATAAAAACTGAACCCGACCTACATCTGACCTGATATGAACCCGAACTCAATATCAATTTGGTAAATAACTGATATTACACAACATATTATGAAACTGACTTGGAATTGACTCAATTGTAAATGATCTGACTTGTTACTAAATTGATATAATATTTACCTGAATTGATTTACCTTATTTAGAAGTTAAAATTGACGAAGTTGTGAGATTTTAAATTTATGATATTATAATTCTATTAAATATACTCAAAAGTTCAATTAAATTAATAACTTATGATCGATAAAGTTAATAAAAAAAGTTATACACAATTTAAAACAAATTATTAATTATAATCATTAGATTAATAAAATTAATTATGATCATTGAATTAATAAATTTTTTTTTATATTAACTGTGATCATTATATTGATGATTTTTTTATATTAATTAGGAACATTATGTTAAAAATTATAATTATAACCATTAAATTAATTTTATTAAATGATTCATTTAGTGATTATTAATTTATTAGATTATAAATTATATATAAGATGATTTCAAATATTAATAAGTTTAAATTATAATTACAATGTAATAATTGATCAAACTTGATATTTACTTGACTTATAAGTTATAAAATTTTAATTGACAACTGATATCATAATATGACAACCAACAAAATAATTTTTCATCAATTAAAGTACTTGATTAATTATGATAATTAGATTAATAAATTTATTTTTTATAATATAATATATAAATTCATTCAAAAGTTTAATTAAATTAATAATTTATGATTGATAAATTTATTAAAAATAATAATCCTTTACCATTTAAGGCAAACAAATAATTATGATTATCAGAATAATGAGTTTAATTATGATCATTATATTTAAAAAAATTATTCTCTATATGTGTAAATTTTAATAAATAAATCGATTATATTTTTATACCACTAATAATAATAACTTTAAATTATTAATTTTTTATTTAAATTATTATTTTTTAAATAATTCATTCGTTGATTATTAATTTTATTAGATTATATAAGATTATTAATTTTATTAGATTATATAAAATGATTTTAAAATATCAATAAACGTAAAGCATTATTAATGATGTCGGGAGGGAAGAGATAAGAGAATATTTCCATTTTAAAATTTTACTAGAATTTTAAAAATTAGGGGGGAATAGAGAAGAGAGAATGTTTTTATTTTAAAATTTTAAAAACCTGGGATGAAATAGAGAAGAGAGAATGTTTTCATTTTAAAAGTTCACTAAAGTTTTAAAAAGTAAAGGTGAAGAGAGAAGAAAAAATGTTTCCATTTTAAGTTTTACTAAAATTTTATGTGTATAATTATATTAAATAAAATTTTATAATTTATAGGTTATATTATACTTAACATTTAATCAAAGTTTATAAGTAAACTGAAGCTTTTAATTGAGATTGATCTTTATTTACTTTTTATTTTAATAATCTAGTCTAGTAATTTTAATATATTGATAAATTTATTCATTTTAGTCCTTAAAATTATATTTTTATGTACAATTGGCCCATATTTATTTCTATTGTTTTGTAATTTAGTCCAAACCTGATAAATTATATTATAAACTCTAAACCCTATAAATTATATCTTAATCTTCAAATTCTATTTTTTATCCGTAATTGGCCCATATAAATAGGTATGTATATATGTATGATATTGATGTATGTATGTGTGTGTGTCAACATATATACAAATATACACACATACATTCATACACACATGTATATAATGTGTGCGTTATACATGCATGTTCTATGTGAATATGTATGCATACATGTATGTAATAAATGCATACATTATACATACATGCATGCATGCATCATACATACATGCATGTTCTACATAGTACATACATCATACATACATAACTACATAACATACATGCATTCATGCATCAATATGTCTTTATAATATTTTCTAAATAAAAATATTGATTAAGACATTAAACTTTTTTCCACAAACTTTTAAAATGATTGCAATTTAATCTAATTTGATATTAATTTCAGCTTTACATTTTACAATTGTTTTAATTTGATCCTTATGTGTTGTTTATTTTATTTAAATTTAAATTTATAATTTCATGTTTGTTTAATTTAGTCCTTAGAAGTATATTGTTATCTTAAATTAGCCTATAATTATTTCTATTTTTTAATTTACTCCAAATATTATAAAATTACAAGTTACAATTTGACATTCATGAAAGGAAAAAAATAATTAACAAAAAAATGACTTGACCCGAAGTCCATCCATACATGGTAAGATCCAACTTTAATTTTATTTGTCAATTATGTGACCTGATTTGAACGAGATCCCACCTAAAATCCATTTGAACCTGAATTAACTGGTTTGAACCCAAATCGTTTTGACCTGAACTGATATCGATTGGAGCTGAAATTAACCCGTCTCGAACCTGAATTAATATTGATCGGAGCTGAAATCAACCCGTCTCAAACCCGAATTGAATCTGATTTCAAATCAACCTGAAAATGACCTGAACTGATTCAACCCAGACTTGAGCTAATCTAACTCGAACCATTAAATTGACCTGACATAAATTGTATCTGATTTAACTTAACCTAGCATGATTAGATCTGAAACTTGAACGATTATCGAATTTCACATCACTATATGTATGTGATAGTTTTAACTTTATGGGTAAAGTATACAAATGGTCCATCAACTATAGAATATTGTTTTTATTGAGTTCCTTGACTATTAAAAGTTGAAAATGGTCCCTCAACTACAGGGGGTTGATTTGTTGAGTCCCTCAACTGTTAAAAGTTACAAAATGATCACTTGACTATTCATTATGTTCCAAACTAACTTACAAAATTATCACTCTTCTATTCATTATGTTCTAAACTAACTTACAAAATGATCACTCTTTTATTCATTATGTTCTAAACTAGTCATTTTCCATTAAAGATTTAATGGTCATCTGAGTTGAAAATAGCATGTTGACTAAGATATAGTATCCGTTTAAGATTATGATATCAGATTTTATCACATCTTAGTCAGTAAGTTAATATAAAGTTGAGACAATCGTCAAATTTTAATGAAAAATGACGAGTTTGGAATATAATAAATAGTTTGGTGACCATTTTTAACTTTTAATAGTCAATGGACTCAACAAAGTAACTCCCTATAATTAGAGGATCATTTTATAATTTGTAATAGTTAGGGGACTTTATAATTCAATACCCTATAGTCAGGGAACCATTTATGCACTTTACCCAAACTTTAATCGTATATAATTCATCAAAGTAAATTAAAAAATATATTTATTTAATATAAAATATTATTGTTTGATATCTCATATTTACTGAATATTAGTTTCTTTTAATATTTATATACAATTTTTTCTCCATCTCATATTAGATAGACTTTTTATCATTTTCATATAGCTTGGGATGTAAAAAATTGATACGACCTACAAAATTGACTAAAATTGATTTGAGTCAAAGTTGCTTATGATTCGAGGTGGTGATGATCTAAATTGGTGTTGACCTAAAATCGAGATGAACCTCATAATTTTGGATCTAAACCCAACATGAGAATAACCTGAACCAGAATTGAACTTGATAATGTGATAATTTAACTAAACTTGCATCTGACCTGATATGAACCTGAGATTAACCTGATAAATAATTGATATTATTATACATGTTATCAACCTGACCTGTAACTGACTCAATCTTTAAGTGATTTGACTTATTATTTAACTTGTAACACCTCAACCCTTATTCGACCCAAATACGAGTCCGAGATGTCACATTACCCTTTTAAATCATATACTTATTTAAAATAGAGGAAAAATTTAAACATACCAAATAATTTACATATATTAACTCAAAAACTTTTACAAACTATTCAGAGCTTATACAATTTACTCTTTTAAATACATGCCAACACTACATAATATAAAAGGGAAACCTACTGTAAATTTTTCTGATCTGATCTTTGCTGAAGTTATGTTGTCTCCGCTGCCTATCTTCTCTTTAGAATTTCTCGGATCATACGTGTGAAACACTCACACGCTAAGTAATAGACTTAGTGAGACATGTAAACAATTAATAAAACTATAACTACTTAACAAATGCATGTACATATCATGCAACACAATGCTTATATACACACATAGATCATCATTAGCATGCTTATCATTACTTATATTATTATCATTAATTCCTTTTTTTATCATATGAGCATGTACTTATCATTTCTATACACATCATAAAACATGTATATCATTTCACAAAAGAGCACACATAGCA